GAGGGTCGGCCCTGAGCTAACATCTGCCAATCCTCCTCTTTTTTTTTTTTTTCTGAGGAAGACTGGCCCTGGGCTAACATCCATGCCCATTTTCCTCCAGTTTATATGGGACGTTGGCACAGAATGGCTTGACAAGTGGTGTGTTGGTGTGTGCCCGGGATCTGAGCCAGCGAACCCCAGGCCGCCGCACCCCGGGCCGCCGCAGCGGAGCGTGCACACCTAACCACTTGCGCCACCGGGCTGGCCCCTCTATTTCAGTTTTAAAAGTAACTTACTGTAGACTTTCTAGAAGGAAGAGGACTGAGAAAAGAAGTAAATGCATCCAACTCAAACAGCTACTTGCTGAGTCGTTTATTTTCTGTTCTTCTAGACCGGAATTCATTTCTCCTTGCTTTGTGCCTCAGCATGTAAGGCAAGTGTCCTATTGGTACAATACTGTGGACACTATTCCTTCCCTATATTTTCTGTTTTCAAACACAACTCTTTAAAATCTTGATGTTAGTCGAGGGTACAAGATTTCAGTTCTGTAGGATGAATAAGTTCTGGAGATCTAATGAACAGCACGGTCATTATAATTAATAATACTGTTAATACTATTTTGTATTCTTGAAATTTGCTAAATGAGGTATCTTAAGTGTTCTCACCACACACAAAAAATTGTAACCATGTGAACTGATGGATATGTTAAAGTTTGATTTTGGTAATCATTTCACAGTGTATTCCATATCAAAATATCATGTTGTACACCTTAAATATGTACAACTTTTATTTTTCATTTGTAGTTTAATAAAGCTGGAGAAAAATAAAGCAATCTTGAAGATAAAACTTATGAGTTAAATGGGAAGCATAAATTTATAGGTAAAACTGCAAAATTTAGTGAATTTGTCATCTGTTACTCCAGTCTCCTTGTTCAAGGATCCTTCTCTGACAAGAAGTGTTTTTCTCCTCCCTTTGGTTCTAAATCTCTAAACCTTCATTAAGTTAACATAAATTTAAGAGGAATTTGCAAACTCCTCAAGCTTGGACTAAATTAAACCCCCAAATTATATTGTTTGTTATATTATATTATATCATAGCCCTCCACTATTGGTTTTTCTTTTTAACTGACTTATTTATCAACAATTAAACATTGAAATATTTCACGTAAAATTTTTCACTCTGAACTGTGCGTCCACTGTCTTCTGATCTTTTGATTGCAGATTCCCATCACAAGGCTATGAACAAAACGGTTTTGATATTTGCAGTGTGTTTCCAACAGACTCTTATCCATAGCTGAAAGTTACAACTTTTAGCATCCACCTACTGCTCTCCTCCAAATTACCAGTTAACTTGTCACTAACAGGCTGGAGATCTTTCTTTTCCTAATCATCTAGGTTAGAAGCTCAATAAACAAGACCCAATACTTCTTATATTAAGATTCTCTTCAATCACTGTGTTTTACTGATTATTAGCCACAAAATATGTACTTTATTACTATCCAACATAGATTAGAAGACTTTCAAATTCTGTATTCTTAAAAATATATTAATTGGACAAAGATATCATGGCTGCTTTTCTTAAATGTGCTATATGCAATACTAAAGCACATTTCTCTCTGTAATATGTGCTTGTCTATAATATTTTTCCCTAGGGCTCTTTTTATTAAGATTTTACAAGGTGGAGAAACAATAAAGATTTCTCAGTAAACATATTAATGGGGCATCCAAGTATGCGTTTTTTATAAATTGTCCAGAAACAATAGTTGAGATTCCAATGCGACTTGTCTGTTTGGGAGGTGATCCCAGTAAATACCTGTAGGAGAGTGAGAAAATATGACAGGGAATGCAAGGAAGGCAATAGAAGGTGCATTACTAGGCCAGGTATCACTGGAGCTCGATTCTAATGGAGAATTCCCTGACACGGGCTCAGCATGCCCTGGTGAAGTGAAAATGTCCTTAGGCAGAGTTTTACAAATGTCCCGTGTTATCAGTCCTCAGATGTACAGATGTTTATCCAGGGAATATAAGCAGGGTGTTGACAGCTTCTGTTGGGGATGGGCTGTCACTTAGCAAAGCAAAGATACAACAAATATGGAAAAGCGTAAGATAAGATCTGGAAGGATAATGGAATGAGAAAAGCAGAAAGGTGTGAAGACATGCGGTGAATTTAGGCTCTACTGTATCACAGTGTAAGGCACATGTATGTGGTATGGAAATGGAAGACAGAGTTAGAAGGAAAGGCTGGATACCCACAACTGCAGTATCGTTTTCCCCCTGATGGTTAGTGATGTTGAGCATCTTTTCGTATACCTACTGGTGATTTGTATGTCTTTTTTTTTCCTCAACAAGCACAAAATCCACTTTATCATGTTGCGGCCACTCAGAGGCAGCAGCTGCTGGCAACCCCTCCTCAGGGGCATTTACAGTATTTGAATTTCCTAAATTTTGGTAGATGTCATTTACTATCATTTAAACTACAGTAACTGGCTTTTATTGATGTTTTAATAGTTTTTAACATTGTGAAATTTTGGGTTGTATATTTTTGTTTGTCCATCACCATATATTTGTCTCCCTTCACCCCTTGTGCCCACCCCCTACCCCCATTGCCCCTGGTAACCACAATAGTTTTCTCTGTCCATGTGTTGGTTTATATTCCACATATGAGTGAGATCATACAGTGTTTGTCTTTCTCTTTCCGACTTATTTCACTTAACATAATACCCTCCAGGCCCATCCATGTTGTTGCAAATGGGATGATTTTGTCTTTTTTTATGGCTGAGTAGTATTCCATTGTATATATATACCACATTTTCTTGATCCATTCATTTGTTGAGGGACACTTAGGTTGCTTCCACTTCTTGGCTATAGTGAATAATGCTGCAATGAACACAGGGGTGCATAAGCCTCTTTGGATTGTTGATTTCAGGTTTGTTGGATAGATTCCCAGTAGTGGGATAGCTGGATCATAGGGCATCTCTATTTTTAATTCTTTGAGGAATCTCCATACAATAACGGGCTTTTGAATGGTTGCCTTCACCATAGCTACTCACTTATTTGAATCAGTCTCAGGTATTTTGAAAATAAATAAATCTTCCAAAATTACATAAAATTAGCAAGTTAACATCGCTTAAAATATTGCATCATTCCTCTCAATGAGAATAGAAAAGCTGAAGAAAATTAAGGAAAAGAAAAAATCCTCTGTTTGAAAACTTCAGAGAAATACCAAAACATTCCAGAGTCGCAGAGATCTGTATGGGACAGAACTGAAGTCAAGACAAATGAGCCTGCATCTCAAGTTGCTATTCCCTTGAAATTATATGATGATTTTGAAAGCAGTGAGTAAGAGGCTGAGAGAATTTCCACAAACTCACAGGGCTAGAGAAACAAAATTTGAATTTAGGGCCTACCAAAGAGCTGGGACGATGGGAAATATCCAAGACCTTGGAAAGGCAATTCCCAGGGGTCAAATTGAATTGCTAATAGCTTCTTCTATGGACTGAAGGCCAGGTTTGAATTATCTCAATCCCTGATGGAATTTAAGTGATCTAGGACACTGGTGCCCTTATCCTAGCAGCCTGCCAGAAATGTTAAGTAAATCCTCTCCGGAAGAAGGCGAAATCATCCAGTTGTTTTTTTATTTTGTATTTTAAATTGGTCTCCACTTGTGAATCTGTCTTGGTTCTGTCTCTCGTTGTCACCATGTCTCCAAATAATTATCTAAGTTTCTCTTTGGTCCTAGCCATCAAGGATATTCGGTTTGTCTTGGCTCTTATTATTTTTCTCTGTTGGATTGGAGACACGCTGTGTAAAGATGGATGATAATTTTGGAGAAAAAGAAAACATGATGACAAGTAATGGCAGTCCTTAGCAGGTTCCTCATTAAGGCCAAAGTTGTGCCTCTGACCCATGGACAAAGAAGAAAGGTCATTTTATCTCATTTCCCACCATTGAGAAAAGTATTTGCCCATAATTGCCAGACACAAGACACATGAAGATTATGACAAGAGGAAAAGGAGGGGCTTTCCTGGCTATGATGGGATAAGCGTTAGTGTGAATCAGTCATAGCATTCCTGACAAAGGAGTAGTTCATTGGCTTTGGCTATAACACGCTGAATTACACATATGTAAATGAAGGAGCACAAATATGTAAAGGATGACCCTGTAGGTTACCACACCTATTGCTGAGAGTATACATATGCCCCTGTCCAGAAGGCAAAATTAAAACTCAGAATCTTCTCAGTGCAACTCAGCTGAACTCACATCTGCTGTCACCATGTCCTACAACTGTTGCTCTGGAAATTTCTCCTCCTGCTCCCTTGGAGGCTACCTGCGCTACCCAGGCTTCTCCTGTGGCTATTCCTACCCCAGCAACCTGGTCTACCGCACTGACTTCCACTCTCCCAGCACCTGCCAGCTGGGGTCGTCTCTCTACAGTGGCTGTCAGAAGACCTGCTGGGAGCCCACCAGATACCAGGCACCCTGTGTGGTGTCCAGCCCCTGCCAGAGGTCCTGCTACCGCCCGAGGACCTACACACTCTGCAGTCCCTGCCGGTCAACTTATGCTGTGTATCTGGGCTCTGGATCCAGAAGCTGCTATTCACTGGGTTGTGGATCGCGTGGCTTCAGACCCCTGGCTTATGGAGTCTGTGGCTTCCCTTCCCTGGGCTATGGATCCAGATTCTGCTGCCCAACCTACTTTCCTTCCAGGAGTCTCCATTCATCTGGTTACTGGCCCCTTTGTAGATCTGGCTTCTACTGATTAATCTGAAGAAGAGCCAAACTTGTTTGAGAAATGCAGATTCTGTTCTCAAATTATCTATTATCTTAATTTCCTCCCTTGAAAAGTGTTCTAATATTCCCTGACCACCAGCAATTCTTTACCTCTCCAGCCCTTAAACACTAGCCGATAGATTAACTCCGTCAAACTAGGAAGTTAACTATAAATTGCATTGTTGATAGAATTTATGGTTTTGCATTTCTCCCAAATATAGATGGAAAGTCAAATAATTTTATCTTAATAAACTCTTCATTCTGCTATCCAAATATGCTGTCAATGTTGTTATTTATTAGTCACGTGTCAACTAGGATTTGTTTTGTCACTGCTTCTGTTAATGGGCTTTGGAAAGCTCAGATTTTGGGGGCTGTGCACTAATTTTGGTTGGGCTTAGATATTTCCCCCTCATTAAACAGGAGTTCTCCAGACGCCCACAGTTTCTAGGTATCGCCTTTCTCTTGATGAAAATCTCAAGAGGTTTGACTATCTTGTTCACACGATGGTTTTGGACCATGCATGTCTAAAGACATTTATGTATTAGTGAAGTTTGAAGAGTGTAGGAACAAAATTTAGATGTATATGATGAGGCCTGTGCATGAAGGATATTAAAATGGAAGACTAGAGTGTGGGTGTAAATTTTTAGAAAAAGACGGGCTTTAGACAATCATGGTGCAGGAAACATCTCATATTTTTTTAATTGGCTAAATCCCTGTACCCCAATTACTATTTTCAATCTGCTCAAATTATCTCCATTAGTATAAGAAGGCAAGCAACAAACTTAGATGGGAAGGAACTAGGCTCAGCAGGTGTGAAGCTGGACCTGGGTTCCTTGCCAACATATAAACTGAATCTAACTGCTAAACAAGAAATCTTTAGTATCATCAAAAATGATTGTTTCAGTTGTATGTTGAAATAAAATTGGATATCCTTTATTTATACCATTCTTCTCTCTTACACCCAGGTATTGTAAAAAGTAAGGTACATACTAATAGATAGTATGACAATAATTGGAGACATAATCTTTATATAGAACAAGTGATGTTTGAATGTTTTTCCTATTCTTTATTTTATAAGATCCCCAAACATCCCTAAAATTAGGAAGGGGAATGAAGAATATTAGAGCCTTGGCAAAACCCCAGGCTTATAAGTGTATCTCAGTCTCCTCATCATGCTCTCTTTACCTCCTCCTTTACTACCAACATAATAAAATATGAAATATAAAAGGAGCTGTAGAGTTCATCAGATTCAATGCACTCATGCTGCAGAGGTGGAAATTGAAACATGCAAGAGTTCACTAGAATTTTACAAGATTGCACAGCAAGTTATTGTAGAGATATGGGTAGCACTATCTTATTCCAGCCAACTGTACCATTCTCTCTTACACCCACTCTTCCCTCATGTGCTCCTCCTCTTCCTCATCATCCTCTCCCTCCTCCTTCTCCTCCACCATGTTTAGGAAGTAGTCACGGTGCTTCTATAGTTAGAGAAAAAGAACAAAGGAATAATGAAAGAAAACTTGGGGGAAAAAATCCATCAGCCACTGCATTATAAAATTGAAAATCGTAAATAGTAATCTCCTCTGTAAACAGTCCTACTCGTGAATTTTAATGATCCAAGTTGGTCTCATTCTCATGAGCTCCAACCAAGACAAATAATCAAATTTCATACCCCAAAATGTAAGCAATGGCAGAGCACACATGGGGAACCGCCGTGGTTTTTTGGCCAAGCTGAGGCCTCCTCTGTTAATGTCTCCAGATTTCAGATGCGTGAGTGGAAAGTTTTCTGGCTTTCAGGAGTATATTAGTGTCTTAGTTTTCTATATGGCTATAACAAATTGTACCAAAGTTAGTGGCTTAAACAGTCCAGATTTATTATCTTTCAATTCTGTAGGTCAAAAGTCAGACACAGTCTCACTGGGCTAAAATCAAGGTGCTGGTAGGGCTGCATTCCTTTCCAGAGGCTCTAAAGGAAAATCTGTTTGCCCTTTTTTAGTTTTCTAGAGGCTACCTGCATTCCTTAGTCCATGTCCCCCTTCCTCCATCTTCGAAGCCAGTAACAGTGGGTCAAATTATTCTTACATTGCATCACTCTGACCTACTCCTCTGCCTGTCTCTTCTGTTTTTAAGGATGCTTATGATTATATTGGGCCTACCTGGTAATCTCCCTATTTTAAGGTCAATGGATTAGCAACTTGAATTCTATCTGCTACCTTAAATACCCTTTCCACATAAGGAAACATATTCACAAGTCCCAGGGTTTAGGATATGGTTATCCTTGAGGGGCGATTATTCTACCTACCAAACTAGTAAACAAGCAAACTTATAAAAACAACTCAAAGATGGATTGACTGTAAATAGTCAGCAGTATGATGAAGTGCTCACAAACAAACAGTGAGATTCAACGTTGGGAACAACAAACTTGTAATCCCACAGTTACATCTGAAGTTCATATATAATATCCCATTTCAGGTTGATAGTCAAGATAAGAAGACTGTGTAATTTTACAACAAGAAACTCATAACTCTTGAGCTGATGTCTTGCCATTACCATTCAAGAAACTGCATCCTCGTCCATTCAGGTCTCTGGCACATTCTAAATTTCCCTAAATACAGATTTTATTCTTTCTATATTTCAAGAATTAATTTTAGTCTCGTGAATTGTGGTCATCCAGATTTCACCAAGTTAATCCACTCTACACAATTAATGGGAGACCAGCTGGCACTTATCTGGCTTACGTCTAGTTGCTTCTAGTCTTCCAGCTTCCCACTGCCGCATACTTTGACAGATGAATAACACCATGGACTGTCAACCTAGGAGGTTAGGTCCCCAGCTTCTGCTGCCCACACAACTAAAGTTACAGAAGCTGCTGATCTTCTGTCTACCAACTGGTTTCCAGTTCTGATTTCCAAGAATAAATGTAACCAGTTTCCCAGGAAATTCTCTCACAAATCATTTCTAGACACTTGATTTCAACAATTTCTATTTATTAATATTTATCTCTTAGTGATTACAGAGAACAGTTTTATCCTCCCCAACTCCGTGCCCTCCTGATTTTTTTTTTAATTAGTCATGCCGCAGAACATATTGTCAAACAGTTTGTCAGTGCCATTATTTTTCACAATATTTTCATTGAGACTTTACCATGAGCCAGAATCTATGCTATGGAAATACATAGTTGAATATATTTTAAAAAATAAGATTATATTTGTGTATTACTCCATAATGAAAAATAGATTAAGAAAATATGTGATCTCTGGTCTAACTGAACTGAAAGTCTAATATGGAAAGCAAAAGCTAAACAAATAATTATTTAATTACAATAATAATGAGCAGTGAATGAGTTCTTGATGCTAAGAGTATGTTATTATACATCAAGGGAATTTCACCTTGTTAGAGGTCAAGACAGATTTCCCAGAGGAACGGCATTTGAAATAAGTCTAAAGAATAAATAGAGAATAGATAGGTGGGGCTTGGAGAAGAAGTGTTTTTAGGACCAAAGTCTTGAGATGTGCGTTATAAAACTGAAAGCCATTTTGGCTGGTTGTTGAGGGAAAAGGAAAGAATGACTTGAACTTAGGCCAGAAAGATTTTGAGGCCATTCCTTGCAGGTCCTTAGTGGTTTAATTCAGGATGGTACTTTCTTCTAAAAGCAAAAAGAGTCATTGAATGGTTTTAAGCAGAGGTATAAGATTGTCTGATTTGTTAGTTTTTTAAATCTTTTTTATTCAATTAGTATGTTCATACAACAAAATGAACAGATTTTAAAGACGGAGACTGATGCTTTAGACAAGTATATATGCCTACGTTACAACTACCCGATCAAGATATAGAACATTTCCCCATCCTAGAAAGTATCTCCTTTTTAATCAGTCCCTGCCCCCTAGATCCAACTACTGTAAGGATTTATTTCACCATAGAATAATTTTGCCTGTTCTAGAACTTCATAAAAATTAGATCATACAGTATGTTCTCAGGTGTATCAGCTTTTTTCACTCAAAATAATGTTTTTGAGATTCCCCATGTTACTTAGGTTTTATTTATCCTATTTGTGTGCAGTGTACCCTTGTGAAAATATATCACAACGTGTTTATTCCTTTAGGTGTTGACAGACATTGAATTGTTTCAAGATTTAAAAAAAAATTTTAAGTCAATAAAGCTTCAATGAACATTGATTGTTCCAGTCTTCTTGTGGACATATGGTTTTAGTTTTTCTTGGAGAAAAAACTCTAACTGGAATTTTTGGGGCATAAGTGAGCATCTATTTAACTTCATTAGAAATTGCCAGTTTTCCAAAGTTAGTTTTATCATTTACTCTCCGACCAGCAATGCCTCAGAGTTCTAGGAGCTCTAAATCCTCATCAACGTTGGACGTTGCCATCTTTCTTTTAGCCATTTGGTGGATATAAGTGGTATGCCATTGATTTTAAGCTGCATTTACTTGGTGAATAATGATTTTGAGCAATTTTTCTTGTGCTTATTGGCCACACCTGTGTCTTCTTTTGTGTAGTATTTATTCATGTTTTTCCACAGTTTTAGAATAGGTTTGTTTTTTTCTTTAATATGTTGGAATTCTTTCCCTACTCCGAAAATAAGTCCATGGTTATATTTACTTATTGCTAATAATTTTCTGTTTGTGACTTGTCTCCTCATCTTCTAATGGTGACTTTTGATAAGCAAAAACTTCCACTTTGAGGAAATCAAATTTATCAATTATTTTTCTTTCATAGTGTTTTAGTGTGTTGTCTGAGAACTTTTGCCTACCATCAGGTTGGAAAGATATTTTCTTAATTTTTTTTCCTAAAAACTTTAAAATTTCAGGTTTTTTTTGTAAGGAAGAGCAGCCCTGAGCTAACATCTGATGCCAATTTTCCTCTTTTTGCTGAGGAAGATTGGCCCTGGGCTAACATCCGTCTCCATCTTCCTCTATTTTACATGGGATGTTGCCACAGCATGGCTTGACAAGCGGTGCTGCGGTGCACACCTGGGGTCCCAGCCGGTGAACCCCAGGCCGCCAAAGCAGAGTGTGCGCACTTAATCACTACACCACTGGCCGGGCCCCTAAAATTTCAGCTTTTAAATGTAGGTCTATGATACACATCAACACATTTCCTTTCCTATTTTTTTTTAGTTCTTTACATGTATCCAGTGATTCAA